TGCGCAGCTCTCGCCGCCGACCTTGCCGCTGCTCAAGCCCGTCAAGGCCCTTTGCTCCAGCGCCTCCACCGCGCCGGTCGTGCCTTCGCCGAGCTGCTTACACCCCCGCCCGATGGTGCTGCGCCGCCACTCACCCTCCATGCAATGCTGTCATCGCTCCGCGGCGCTCCGCCTGGAGCCCCGCGCTAATCTCCGCCATTCTGCCTGCCCGTGTGCACGCGTGGCCCCGCGTCCACGGTGTCAGGGCGCGGGGGCGGGGGGTGCCCCGTCCCTGCGCGCCGCGCTGCGGCCAAGCGCCCAACAGGCGGTCTGCCAAGCCGCCTAGCCACGTGTCCGCACGTCGCCTTTCTTGTTGGGGCCTTCTTCGTCACGCGGTCTGACACGTGAGATCTTCACAGTCTGTCCGCCGTCCGTAGCTTCAGACGCAAAGCGCCGGGGGAGGGGGTCTGTTGCCCGCCCTCGTATCTTAAGGCTGCACCGCCGCTAATGGTTAGACAGTTTTTGCGGGTGTCCGCAAACCGCGCCAGCGCTGGGACGGACCCCGTCCGCCTAACTTGTCCGGTCTCTCTCTCCTCCTCCTCTCGTCTCTCATCGGCTAGCTCTCTCTCTCCTCTCTCTCCTCTCTCTCTCTCTCTCTCGCTCGCGCTCGCGTATCGCGCTCGCGCTCGCGCTCGCGCTCGCGCGCTCTCTCTCTCTCTCTCACTCGCCTCTCTCGTCATCTCTCTCAAACTCTTCGCTCTCTCCCGCCTCTCTCTCTCTCTCTCTCTCTCTCTCTCTCTCTCTCTCGTCTCTCTCTTTTTCTCTCCTTCTCTCTCTCTCTCTCTCTCTCTCTCTATCTTCCTCTCTCTCTCTCTCTCTCTCTTCCTCGCTCTCTCACTCTCTCCCTCTCTCGCTCGCTCGCTCGCTCGCTCTATCTCTCTCTCTCTCTCTCTCTCGCTCTCTCTCTCTCTCTCACTCTCTCTCTCTCTCTCTCTCTCGTCTCTAGTCTCTCGTCTCTCTCTCTCTCTCTCTCTCTCTCTACTCTCTCTCTCTCTCTCTCTCTTTTTCTCTCTCTCTCCCTCTCTCCCTCTCTCGTCTCTCTCTCTCTCTCTCTCTCTCTCTCTCTCTCTCTCTCTCTCTCTCTCTCTCTCTCTCTCTCTCTCCTCTCTGCTCTCTTCGCTACTGGCTTCTGAAGGGGTCTGGGTTAGGTGAGCCTGAGTGTGGGTGAGTCTGAGTATGGGTACGTCTGCGTGTGCCTGACTCTGAGAAAATGAATCTGAGTGTGAGTGAGCTTGTGTATGAGTGAAATGGTTAGACTCTGACCATGAAGCTCTCAAGAGATACATGTTGGGGGCGCCAAACGGCAATTCTAGCTGAGACGTCCCACCAAAATCGGCGCGAACGGGCTCGTGAGATCAGCCAGGGTGGCTCCCCCTTGGGGCTCCCAAATGATGCCCCTGGCAGCGTTTTGTGACCATGAAGCTCTCAAGAGAGACATGTTGGGGAGGCCAAACGGCAATTTTAGCTGAGACGTCCCACCAAAATCGGCGCGAACGGGCTCGTGAGATCAGCCAGGGTGGCTCCCCCTTGGGGCTCCCGAATGATGCCCCTGGCAGCGTTTTGTGACCATGAGGCTCTCAAGAGATACATGTTGGGGATGCCAAACGGCAATTCTAGCTGAGGCGTCCCACCAAAATCGGCGCGAACGGGCTCGTGAGATCAGCCAGGGTGCTCCCCCTTGGGGCTCCCAAATGATGCCCCTGGCAGCGTTTTGCGACCATGAGGCTCTCAAGAGATACATGTTGGGGGCGCCAAACGGCAATTATAGCTGAGACGTCCCACCAAAATCGGCGCGAACGGGCTCGTGAGATCAGCCAGGGTGGCTCCCCCTTGGGGCTCCCAAATGATGCCCCTGGCAGCGTTTTGTGACCATGAGGCTCTCAAGAGAGACATGTTTGGGAGGCCAAACGGCAATTTTAGCTGAGACGTCCCACCAAAATCGGCGCGAACGGGCTCGTGAGATCAGCCAGGGTGGCTCCCCCTTGGGGCTCCCAAATGATGCCCCTGGCAGCGTTTTGTGACCATGAGGCTCTCAAGAGAGACATGTTGGGGAGGCCAAACGGCCATTTTAGCTGAGACGTCCCACCAACATCGGCGCGAACGGGCTCGTGAGATCAGCCAGGGTGGCTCCCCCTTGGGGCTCCCAAATTTTGCCCCTGGCCAGCGTTTTGGTGCCGCTCTTGGCTCTAAAGGAGAATACATGTTGGGGCGGGGGGGGGACGCCAAACGGCAATTCTGCTGAGACGTCCCACCAAAATCGGCGCGAACGGGCTCGTGAGATCAGCCAGGGTGGCTCCCCCTTGGGGCTCCCAAATGATGCCCCTGGCAGCGTTTTGTGATCATGAGAGAGTGTGAGTGTGAGTGAATGTGACTGTGAGTGAGTCTGAGTGAGAGTGAATCTCATCTTATCTTATCCTACCTTGTCATATATCTTATCTTACCTTATCATACCTTGTGCTATCTTATCTTATCTTGTAGTATCTTATAGTGTCTTGTCTTATCTGGTGATTATCATTGGGAGGAGGGAGGCGCGAGCGGGAGGAAGGAGGAAGGAGTTCGCGCGTGGGAGGCGTCAGAGTAATAACAAGAACCCCAATCCTTAGGATATGGGGAAAAACCATGAGCATAAACTTTTGGCGCTCCGCGCGGATTTCTTGAGGATCTTTGCTGGACACCCCTCCCTTGCGGGTTCCGCGCGCCAGGGCCGACGCAGGAGGCGCCGCCGGAAGGCACAGCGCGGATCCAAGAAATCCGCGAGGAGCGCCCAGAAGTTTCTGTTTATAACGTTTTTGCGCCTTCGAGGAACGCACGCAGACTGCATGTAAAGGCCAAGCGAACCTGGCGGCAGTGCGGGGAGCAGCTGATCCTGAGTATCGTTTAACCGATCCCCATCCCCAGCGGCGTGGCCTGGGCCCCACTGGCCGATTTACCCCCCTAGACAGGGGTATAGGTCGCTCTCTTCGGGCTTCGAGGGGTGTATCCCCAACTGGGGTGGTTGGTGGGGGTCTCGAAGGGGATTGGGATGGGGATGTGGATGGGGATCGGTAAAACGATACTCAGATCCATGAGCAGAAGCGGCGGCGGTGCCCACGGCAGCCGCGGCGAGAATCGCAGGTGTCTGTAGGCAGGCCTCCGCAGGCCCTGACAAGAAGGGCCCCAATGGCCCAAAGACAACTCGACCGTCGACCCTCGAGGATGGCCACATGTGAACCCTACCCCTACCCCCCACGATTTCCGAGGGGGAGGGTGGGGTTCACTTCGTTCGGGAGCTCCTGAGCGAAGTGAACCCCACCCTCCCCTCAAAAATCGTGGGGGGTAACATGTGGCCCATGTGGCCCCCTATCAATGGACGAGGCGGGGGAGGCGGAGCGCCTCCCCCGCCTCGTCCACTGGCCTCACCGCCTCACTGGGTGAGGCGGTGAGGCCAGCGGCAGAACACACAAGTACCAATGATCTAGCGACGGTGGCACCGCGTGGCTGGGCATGTCGGCATGTCTCTGGAGAGGACGGCGCAGGGCAGGGCAGGCGATGGCAAACGCAGCGCGGGAACGGCAGGGCAGACGCATCGCAAGGGCGGACAGCGCGAGGGCAAAGGCGAAGTCAAGGCAGGGCAAGCGGAAGTCATCTGGCGACCCGATCTGGGGGCATCTTGAGCCCGGTGGCGTGGACGCGAGGTGGGTGGCAATTCGGCGCGGCGGTCGCTGCGGCCAGCGTTGATGAACCCCCGTTGGCCGATCCCGAACCCATCTGGCCGATTCCCAATGCTGGGTCCCTGGAAGTCTCGACACCTTCCCCAGCACTGGATTTTCATCCAGAGTCGTTTTTTTGACGGTCCCGAGGCCCGGTAAGGGCCCCTAGAGACCGAAAATTGCAAAAAAAAAAAAAAAAAAAAAAACATCCGCCATGATCTTTTCAATGCGTTGGATCTCTGGGTTCCAGGAACCCCACATCCCAACTGTTGACGTCTCTCTCTTACTTACACGCCGCCCTCTGCAGGCAGACCCTCCGCCGTTCCACCTCCGCCGCCCTCCGCCGAGGACGAGACGCGCCAGCGGTGAGGCCTTCTCTTGGGGAACGCAGCAGAAGGCTATACGTTCGGGCCCTTGGGTGCCTTCTTTGGGGCCCCAATTTCAGGGACGACTCATGGGAGCCTCCCGTACCATCTTGTCGGCTCTTGCGCATCGACACGAATCGACGCCAAATCGACCCTAAATCGACGCTACTCTGTGTCCATCAATACTTCTGGGCCGCCAGGCTAGAGGTACCGCCCGGACTACAAGTACCTTCCCTTCGAACTACAGGTCCCCCTCCCCTGGACTACAAGTACCCCACCCCCCGGACTACTGGTACCTCCCCCTGGACTAGGTACCCCCCCCGGACTACAGGAGTACTCCCACAGGACTACATCCACGCGTGAGTTGACGCGTAAACATGCGTTCCCCCCTAAACTGCAGGTACCTCTCCCAGACTACTGGTATCCCCTTCCCCCGGACTACAGGTGCCCCACAGTAGTCCCCCCCCCAGGACTACAGGTGCCCCTGCCCCGTACTACAGGCACCCTCCCCGCACTGTACCCCCAGACACCTATTGACGGACACAGAGTAATCGGCGCTGGCCGACGCTCAATCGGCGCTATGTCATCGACTCTAGACGCTAATCGACGCTCGTCGACAATGGCTGGAATGGGCAAAGCAGTTGTATCCGCACGCCGTACGTGTCTGTGATGACAGAGGAGTTCATCTATTACAAGACGCAGATCAATTTCATGCACGCCTGAGTGCCGCATTTGCCGCCGACGCGCCCTAGGGCGTATGGCTCTTGATGATGATGATGATGATGATGATGATGATGATGATGATGATGATGATGATGATGATGATGATGATGATAATGATGAATCGACGCTCGTCGACGCCGAAGACGGAATCACGAGGGTTGCCAGCGGAGCCTTCGGAGGCCACCCGGGGCCCACGCCGGAGTGGAGCCATGCCGTGGCGCACGCCTGGCGCCTGACGTCGCTGTCGGCCGCCGTGGGCGCTCCGCTCCGAGCTGAGGCCCGAGGCGGCGAGCACGGAGGCATCGCAGCCACGCGGGGAGGGCGGTCTCGCGCACCAGGGCACCCGCCGACAGACGTGTGTCCATTCTCCTCCTCGATCCTCCTCCTCCTCCTCCTCCTCCTCCTCCTCGATCCTCCTCTCCTCCTCGATCCTCCTCCTCCTCCTCCTCGATCCTCCTCCTCCTCCTCCTCCTCCTCCTCCTCGATCCTCATCCTCCTCCTCCTCCTCCTCGTCGATCCTCCTCTTCCATGTGGCGAGTTCCAAGAGCCCAGAACCATAAAAGCTTGTCATATCTTGGGAGACCGATCCTTACTCTTGCCAGCTTCCGCGGGCCTTCCGCCGGCGGAAGCGGCCTCGCTGTACTTCCGCCGCCTTGCGCCGACCTTCCGCCGCCTTCCGCCGAGGAAGCGATGGCAGCTCTTTCGTTCCTCGAAGGCGAGGCCCTTTCTGGAACGCCTCATGCGGTCGCCAACTGGATGCGTTGTCGACTTCAGGGCCCGACGACACCAGTTTCTTGTAGACTTCTGGGCATGAGGACTGATTAATATCCAGCCAGATCGGAGCCGAAACCGCTCATCAAATACGTCTTGTGGTGGTCGGGGCCTTCCTTGGGGCATCAAGACGGCATAAGGTTAACCATCGAATTGACATTGGCTTCGGATTGCGGCGTGCACAAATAATGTGCAAGTGTTTTGCCGGCAGCCCAACCTTGGCCTCCATAGTCGACCACCAATAAGAATTTCATGTAAAACGAGCAGTCGCGTACCCTTTGGCTTGGTCAATTGACATCCTACAAGTTCAAACTACTCCCGAGCGCCGACACGAGCGAAAACCCAGAGACACACGAACTCGCGAGAGCATTCCAGCGGCACTAGCAGGAATCCGCACACGTAGTATCAGCATGTAGGACAGCCGATGCACATCGAAGCACGGACGTCTTCAACCTGGCGCGACTTCTACAATAAGACGTTCCACTACACATTTAAATCAGGTTCGCACCTGGAGGCCAAGATTGGTGCCAGCATGCAAGGCCGTCCTCGGCGACAGCACACCCGAAACCCGACAGGACCGACAGCGAAGCCGAAACCGCCCGAAACCGACAGGCCGCAAGCAGCCTAGAAGGATGCAGGGACGCACCAACCACACATCAACCGAACGAACCGAACCAACCGAATGCAATCGACTGCGGCATAGCCGAACCAACCGAACTGAGGGCATCCTTGGTAGGGCCCCAGCTTGCGCCTTGTCTAGGTTCAGCGGAACTTCTTTCGAGCCCCTGGGACAGGCATTCTTCTTGTCCGAGGAGGGTTTGCTGGTTTGGGACATGGGCGGCACGATTTGGCATCCTGCAAAAGAAAACTCACGAGCGAGCGATCTCACCCGGATGGGAAAATATCATCCAGAAGCTAGTGGCCTCATCCAGCTGCCGGCGTAGCGGAGTGGGCCGACCTGGGCACGTCAGGACAACAATAGACATCGCACGTTCACTTCCTCCAAATATCGTCACTCGAACTCTTCATGTGCTGTAAGAAACTTTTGCTTAGCGTGTCGCGGTGGCGGCCCTGGCGACACGCCACGCCATGCGAGTGGACAGCGTGTCGCTCCGCTCCGCATGGTTGGAGGTCGGGAAAGGCTCACGGCGTTGACGGTTGGGGACTGGGACATGGATAGCGTGTCGCGCCAAGGCGTGATGGACAGGACAGGCGACGCAAACCATGCCAAAATATCCGACTGCATCCCACCCTTTCATCTTCCCACCGGTCTCTTCCAACCGACTCCTCACACGCATTAGTCGGTGCATCATTGTGTGGCTCAATCGTGCTTGCAAGCTCGCCCTTTCTGCGGCACCATTCTCATCTGCTTTGCCTGACAGCATGTTTTGGTGGCTGGGAGGACCGTTCAGAGCAGAGCGATGTCGAAGATGGCTGTGAAGGCCAAGATCCAAGACAAAGGGTCGATCGATCAGGCTTGAGTGTACGCGTTGTGCCGTCCTCACGCCTCGCCCAGAGGCCAATGGCCACGATAACGGTACCAGCGACGATCGGAGATGTCTCGAGCACAATGAGGCTCCCCCATACGGCCAGCTCGAGATGCATGGGCGAAGGCAAGAGGAGGAGGATGGGGAAGGATTGGGAGGGGAGAATGAAAAAGGGAGGCCCGATTACTTAGGGAAGAAGCAGTGGGTAGGAAAGAGGGGGGAAGATGTCGTAGCGAGCCCCAGCAAGAGAGACCGACAAACCGACGCAGACACCGAGCTCCACGAATACGGTTGCTTCACATGCCCTGGGCTCCCTAGACATCCGACGATGTGTTTATGTCAATCCACGGTCCCATAATTTCTACAATTTCACCAGGGAGAATCAGTCCACATCCACGTTTTATGGTCCTGGCTTCCGAAAAAGGCCCCAGGAGGCCGTCCTTGGGAGAAAAAATTGGAAACCGTTCAAACCTGCCCTGGACCTCATCCTGGCAGCGTTTTCACTCCGAAACCGCTTTATACGGCCCCAGAGCACGAAATGGGCCTCCAGACGGAGACAGGAAGCAGAACACATGTAGTACACAAGAGCTATCTCGAACCTGGATCTTCGGACCTCGATCCCTCTCGTCTTCCCTCCCCAAGCATGCGGCGCCCAGAACAAATCGAGGCGGCCGGCTTGTCATCATGTCTGGCCTCCGTCAAGACTTCTCGGGATGAGAAGCTGGACCTGGGGTCGGGCCTCTACTGGCCCGAGTCAATGCAAACCTGGGCCAGTCAAGCTTCTCAAAATCCTGCAAGATTCTGCAGGATCCTGCACCATGCCCGGGTCAGTGCACCCCTGGCTCTGCAGGATCCTGCAAGATCTGGAGCCCTGGCTGACCCCCGTTTGCGTAGGCCCCCGTCCCAAGGCCCCCGATGGGGAAGGGATCGAGATGTTCCAGGGCCCACGCATCCAAAGATTGGAACGCCAGATGTTTTTCCTTAAGCGAGCCTTGGGGCGTTCCGCCCGCGGCGTCCGCACGGGCTCCTCCTCCTCCTCCTGCTGCTGCCACCCTCCTCGTCCCCCCCCCGTTCCCCTCCTATTATTGTTTTCCCTCCTCCCCTTCCTCGAACGCTGAAGAACTCACCAAACCCAGGTCCTGGTCGCCAAGCCTGAACGAACTATACCCCATCTGAAAGCCTGGCCTCATGAGAACGCCATTGCGCCATCCTCTCCCTCCTTCGTCATTCCTCTTCTTCCTCCACAATCCTTCCTCCTCTTCCTCCACCTTTTTTCCTCCTGCCAGCCCTCCTCCACCTCCTCCTCCTCCTCTCAGTCTGCTCCTCCTCCTCCCCATCCTCCTCCTCCTCCTCCTCCTTCTGCTCCTCCTCCTCCTCCTCCTCCTCCTCCTCCTCCTTCCCCTCCCGCTTCATTCCTCCTCCTCCTCCTCCGCCTCCTCCTCCTCCTGCTCCTCCTCCTCCTCCTCCTCCTCCTCCTCCTCCTCCTCCTCCTCCTCCAAGGCATGTCCCTCCGGTCCGGGCCGCAGGCGGAGCGCTGCTGAGGAGCTTGGGATGGCGACGGGAGGCCTGCGGGGTGTTACACCCGAGCAAGTGCCTGGTGGACAAGGGAAAGTTTGGGCTCGCAAGTCAGCCCGCAATCTGGCGCGGAGGCTCCGCAAGGAACGCGCTGAGCGGCGTGTCCAAGGAGTCATCGACGAGGCAGTCAGCTACGCCCTGGAAGAGCTGCAGGTTGTAGAGGGCGACGCCGTGGAGCTGGCCGCTCGCCTTGCAGCACTCGGCAGGGCGTTGCTGCTTCATCGCCAGACCGATTCGCACCTCGGAGGGCACCGTCATCGTCTGGGTGATGCTTTGCGCGAGGTTGCGGGCCTTGCGGGCGTGCCTCCTGACTGCTTTGTACGTGCACGGGAAATCAAGGTTGCTGGTGATAGAGCTCGGCACGAGCCGCTCCGCAACGGGCCTTCGGTGGATGTCGACGCGCACGTTCGGCTCGAGTGGAATGTGGACGCTCCGCAGTTCGTGCCCCATTCCGAGAAGGTCGAGCCGGTCGACTGCCACGGCGTCTGGGGGCCCGTCGAGACGCACTTTGAGGGCTTGCGATGCTGGTGCGGTTCGGTTGTTTTCTCATCGGCGCCCCTGTGCGGGCAGCCGCTTGCTGCGACCGTCGCGGACGCCGCTGCTGAGGAGGAGCCTGGAGATGTGGGGGGTGATTCTGCGGCTGCTTCATTGCCCAACGGTTCTTCCCAGAAGGTGGCAGCCAACGGAGCTGGAGATATATCGTGTCCTTTGTCGGTCGAGACGCACATTTCCGAGGTGGAGGCCCAGATCCAGAGCTGGACGCTGGTCGGGCCCTCAAGGCGCCCATTCCTGCAGGGAGTCCGTGCCCGACGCTGGGAGGAGGATCGTGCGCGCCTTACTCGTGACGCCGCCACTTTGCGGACGCCGCCGAACGTCGTGGACGTCGTCGAGGAGGCTGCAGACTTCGGGGCGCGTGGCAGCAGCGATTCGGCTGGAGGGCCCTTGCGGGGGGTGACTGCCCAGGCGGCTGGCCGACCGCAGGCGGCGGGTGCGGGCGCCGAGGGCGGCTGGGCTGCTGAGCGGGAGAGGCTTTTGCGCGACGCGGATGCTCTACGGAACCCTCGTGGGCTACATCGTGTTGCACGGCCTGCCGTTGATGTTGTTTCCCAGGGCACTGACATCGCCTCATTGTTCCGTTCTCTCGGGGAACAAACGGTTGCAGTTGCTAGAGCAGCGCCGACGCCTGTTCCTCCTGCCGCCCCGCCTGGCGAAGGTTGCAAGCAGCAGTGAAGAAAGGTAGCTGTGCTGGATGGTCGCGGTCGCGGTGACCTACTTCATCGTCGTGCGCGCCGTCGAGTTCAGTGTTCGAGGTAGTATTGATATCGCTTCGCGATTGTTCCGATTCCGATTCCGATTCCTCCTCCTCCGTCATTCATCCTCCTCCTCCTCCTCCTCCTCCTCCTCCTGCTCCTGCAGCCGTTTCGGCGAGAGCCGCCTGCGCTCCCCTCGCGCGCCCAGCGGGGCGCTCGCGCGCGCGATTCTGAGGCAACTCTCGCTTGGCGCGGCGCTATTCGAGGCGGCGCAACCGCGCCGAACCGGTCAGGGCGGTGCATGCGGGTTGCTGCACACCCCGGCTACGGGCTCGCCAGTCTGGACAACCCCGAGGATGTCGTCAAGCGGCTGGTCGGTGTGCTCGGGGCCCAGCACGTGGAGCTCTGCATCCATGACGAAGCTGGGCTACGGGCTGGATGGGACGCTCCCGAGAAGAAGCACGGGGGAAAGGCGGCGTGGCGCCTGCAGGGGCTGAACCTGCTGAAGGACAAGAAGTACCAGGAGCCCAAGATCCAGGAGACCGCGGCGGCGGCCAAGCGCATGCCGAGCACGAAGCCGCTGGCTCCGACCTGGAAGGCGAGGCTGCCGCCCTGCGCAATGAGGCCTACCTCACCCCCAAGGTGCCGGAGGACGGCGAGCGGTGCCTGGGGAGAGACTCGCTGGGAGGCGAACCACGGGCTGGGCATCTTCCTGACGCTGCTGAAGCCCCGCTACCACGGCCAGAGCTTGCACCAGTCGGAGGCGGAGAAGGCGTTCGCCCAGCGCAGACGGGCTCCCGGCCCCGACTCCAGCAAGGAAGGGGCCTGGGATCTGCTGGGCAAGGGCGCCAATGGGAAGGCGACGGCCCCGCAGAACCAGGACGTGCTGAAGGCGAAGAAAAACCGCTGGAAAAGGCTGAGAGCGACCAGCTGAAGTTTTTCTCCAGTGCGGATCACCAGGCACGTCCTCCCAGCAAGTTCCTGCAGCGCGCCGGGGGCGAGTTCTTGGGTTGTGGGAAGAAGGGCCCCAGGCCGAATCCTGGGGAGAAGTCAGGGCCATGCGAGGGCCCAGGAGACCCAGCTGTCGGCGGCAGCAATGGCGATGCTCTGAAGCCCAGCGAGGAGCGCAAGATCATCGACACCGTCGACGGCACCTTGGAGGGCGAACTCGTCGACTTCGGAGGCGAGCAGTTCTTTAAGACGAAAATGAAGAACCTTGATGCGGGCGACATGATGCTGCATGGGATGCCCATCAAGATCAGGCGGATGGACCGCACAAATAAGAAGGCCAACATCGCAGGGCAGGACATGTTCACTGGCAGGGACTTCGAGGACAAGCTGAGGCTGTCGCTCGACGTGGACTGCCCTCACACGCGCTACGACGACTACTAGCTCATCGACATCGAGATGGAGAACCTCAAGGCCAAGGTCATCTCGATGAAGGGTGAGTCGAAGGAGTTCCAGCTCGAGCCAGAGCTGAAGCCGCTGCACGATGCCATCGTGCGCCAGCACCTGGACGGGGAGGAGCAGGACCTGATCGTACTCTCGGCCGTGTGCCAGGAGTGCACTGTGGACGTGCAGCGGCACGACGAGAATGACGAGGCTGAGGGCTTCACAGTCGATACGCTGAACAAGGGCTTCGACACAGCGCTGGCTGCGGAGAAGAAGGAGCTGCTGGACCAGCTGCGCCAGTGGGAGAAGCTCCATGAGGCGGGCCAGCTGGACGGCACCATCCTGGAGCAGTTGGTCGGCAAGCTGCAGGGCGCCTGAGGCGGTCGCGAGGGGGGGGGGTCTTCTCCTGTCAGCGGGGGTCCCGGGTTTGTCCTGAGGGCCGTCCTGGGTTCGGGCCTCCCATCCCTGGCTTCCTGGTTTTCGGCCCCTTTGGGCCCCGTGGTGGTGGGGCCCCCTGCCCACCTGCTGCTGACAGGATTGGACGGCTTTCCTGGCGGCGGCGTCGCGGCCGCAGCGCCGAGCAATCTTCGGATTGACATCGTCTCCACGCCTCCTCCTGCTCCTCCTCCTCCTCCTCCTCCTCCTCCTCCTCCTCCTTGTTCATTCCTCCTCCTCCTCCGAGCCTCCTCCTCATCCTCCTCCTTTTCCCCCCCCCTCTCCCTCCCCCTCCCCCTCCTGTCCCTATCCACCTCCCCCTCCGTCCCCACTCATCCTTTTTTTCCCCCTCCCCCTCCTCTGCCTCCCCCTTCCCCCTCCTCCTCCTCCTCCTCCTCCTCCTCCTCCTCCTCCTCCTCCTCCTCCTCCTCCTCCTCCTCCTCCTCCTCCTCGCTTAGAAGGGGTCAGCAAATCGAAGGTCCGGATGTCGGGCCGTCTCCTCTGACTCATATCCTGTCATGACGCCCCCACGACACATCCCGAGAGACCAGCCATTCATCCTGAGCCGTTTCTGACGGTCCGAGGCCCAGCGAAGGCCCCAGAGGCTGAACAGAGTCGAAACCTCCCGCCCCGATGATTCACGACGCGAGGGGGTCTGTGCCCAGGGGCCCGCCTTGGACCCCCGGGGCCTCCCCCAGGACCAGATCTTCATCCTGTTCGCTTTTTGACGGTCCCGGGGAACGTGTAGGGCCACGGGAGGCCGAAAGCAGCGAGAAACCTCAAGGCCCGTTTCCCTCGGAACCCGTGTCCTTGATGGCGGAAGAGGCCCCCCTGAGGTCCGACGTTGCAAACGAGTTACAAAATCTCGGAAAGCTACGACCGGAACCCTGGACCCCACCTTTCTGCTGCATTCTTCGAGCCGGATCGATCCGCGATTGCCCCAGGGCCAGAAAACGAGTGCAAACGCTCGGCGTAAGAAATTGCAGCGCCCCGATCTCAGGCACCCCCCTCCCCCTCGGGAACCCACTGGCCCGGGTCAGTCCAAACCAGGGCAGGTCGGGCTTTGCAAGACCCTGCAGGATCCTGTAAGATCCTGCGCCCAAGCCCGGCTCAGTGCGACCCTGGCCCTGCAGGATCCTGCAAGATCCGGCACTCTGACTGACCCCCGTTTGCCTTGACACGAGCCTCGACCCTCCTCCCCAGACCCCCAACGTCGTGTTTTTTTCCGCAATGTCTGCACCCAGAGGTCTAGACCCCTTCATGGGACCGGTCCTTCATCCTGAATCATTTTTTGTCAGTCCCGAGGCCCGGTAAGGGCCCTGGATCGGGGGCGCGCAAACATGGATTAGCGATCCATGGATTTGGCGCGCAAAAATACGGCCGGTGCTGCCTCGCTGGGCGGCAGAAGCTTGCGATTTCCCATGGAAACGGGACCCGTCGCTAATTCACGACCCCCTGATCCATGTTTGCGATCGCCTGACTGGAGGCCGAAAATGTCGAAGAACCTCCCGTCGCGATTCTTGTTCACATCGCGAGGGGGTTCGGGCCCCTTGAGCCTCGACCTCCTCCTCTGCGCTTGGGAGGCCCGAGGCGCGCCTGCTGGCCACGAGCTCCCGCTGCGGCGCGCGGCGCACCGTGAGCCGCAGCGCGTCGTCGGCGCCCCGGAGCTCCTCTCCCCCGCGGGGCGCGAGGAGGG